TCAAATAATATTGATAATAATTTATCGTGTTAGCGACTGTTCAATTTCAATTAATAAAAAAAAAATCTAATTCTGACGGCCGACCTCGAGGAGAAATATGGAATGCTTATACTGTCGAACAAAAAAATATTCTACTCGACGCGACTATTGTTCTAAGCATTGGAAAAGAGGAATACCAATCGTAATGGAATCACATTTAGCTAATGAATGTTCCAGTTGTCCACAATATGTACAAAAATATTGGCAGAATAAAATTGAAAATCGACATAATAATTATCGAAGAACTTCAAATACAAAACGCCGCAAATCAATAGATTTTGTTAATATCAATAATTCATAATCACTTTCTATAAATCATCAAAATTCACTCGATTGTACTGTATTAAAAGCTTGGGTCGGATGTGATATATCTTTTGAGATCGCAAGCATATAAAGTTTTATCAGTAGTTTTATCAGTTTATATTTTGATAGTTGTTACGGTTTAATTGAAGTATTAAAAATATAAACAGTATAAACCTATCACGTTGTTAGTTTATATTTTTATCAGGTTTTGTCACGAGTATTGTCGGCATCACTAGTTCTTACAACTCGAGTACAATTTATAATTCTATTACAACCTTTGTTTATTCAAATAAATGTAAGTTCGTACCAGGAACTGAATGTTACGTGTATCATAACGCGAAAGGAATGGTTAGTTATACAGCATTTTTTTTGTGTATGGATAGTCGACAGTTATTTATTTTATTTTGTCATTAAACTATGTACTACAGTCAACTCTTTCTATGTATAACGAACTGAAGATTCTGGAAGAAAAAAGGTTCGTTATAGGAAATTACTGTTTTCTTAAGAACTCATGCTACTTTTTATACCGAACTATTATGAAGTTTCAAAATTTTGAGTTTGTTATATCCAGTAGCTGGTGAATAATTTTATTAATAAAAGTATCTATATAAGTTGATGTATCTAATAAATTATTAAGCTTATGCGTTGTTTTTTTATTAAGTTTAATCAAATATACATTTACTGTATCAGGATCTGAATTTACTTCGGATTCTTTTTCTATATATTAGCCAATCAGAATGAAAGCCCGCTTGGCCATCATCCAATCGGATGGTAAGCTTCGAAAATCGCAAATTAAGCAAAAAGTTTAATAATGTTAGCTCTTTATGATAAATAGTAAATAATTTTGCAATAAACCATATGGTTCTAGAGAAAAAGCATATTTAATCTTAAAAGTTACCTCTTTCTCTTGTTATATTAAAATATATAATAATAACTGGTGTTTTTTTTATATAATGCCTGAGTGCGGACATACACGACATATTTGTATTACAAGTATGATTGACAACCCACATGCTTATTTACATGTATAAATTAATCACAGATAAACATGGTTTAAACCGGTTCATATTTTATACGCATATACATACGTACGTAACATACGTATGCGGATTTACAAGTTAACTTTTTACCAAAAATTACAAAATTTAGCGTATATACGCAACTACCCCTAGTTTTTAATTATGTCCAACCCATTTAATATAAATGCAAGGAATGTAGCAGTAAATACTATTTCAGATGTCACTGAGGCTGGAGGTTCATTTGTACCTTTTTTAAATGCATTGAATGTTCTAGTTAGAGAAGTTAATCAAATTTACGAAAATGCGGAATGTAATAAAGAGCTTTGTTCAATTATGGTGGAACGAGTAGCACTTGCGGAATTTGCCATGAGAAGGATGATAGAAAAAAACAGCAACGAATACTATTATCAAAAATATTTTTTATCATTTAAAAGATTTCAAAATACTTTGACAAATATGAAAGAATTTACTAATAAAGTATCAAGGCTTGAAGGTTTTAGAAAATTTTTCAACGCAACAGAAGTTAAAAAACATTACGAAAAATTAATCAAAGAGTTTGATACATCCATGAATGATCTACATTTTACTATTGCTGCTGTTAATGAAAATCAAAGCTTAAAAGTTGATGAATCCTTAAGAAACGTTGAAGAAGTATGTACTGTATATGCAATTATCAAAATATTCATATTCTTACTGTGTTAATTTTGAATATTATTTTTTTCGTCAATCCATTTTCCATTTTTAGACTCTTCAAAAACTTGGCAATAAACTCGATATAGTAGTTCAAAAAGTGAATATTGTTAAACATTCATCTGATGCACTTACAAAAAAAATCGACATAAATGAATTAAGCGAACCTATTATCCCAAATAAACAAGACCATCGTGGTTCAGAGCACTGTCCTGTCATTAAGAAATTTTATAAAGGCACAGAAGTTGCATGTAGACCTACAAAAAAGTCTAAATATCTTGAATTTGAATTAGCAATACTTGGAGAATTGGGTCAATCACCATACATTCTCCAGTTTTATGGTCTCTCATATGTTGATAACCATGATGTTATGATCTTTGATTGGGCTGAGTTTGGAACTTTGAAAGAACTTTATAACCATTATAAGATTCCATGGACTAGAAAAGTTCGAATTATTCGAGATCTCTGTCGTGGTCTTGTGTATTTACGTAGTGTAAAAATATTTCATCACGATATGAGATGCAAAAATGTTTTTGTAAGTATGAGCTAATATATTATTATTTGAGTAAAAATGTAGTTATATTTTCGACATTTTATTTCAAATTTAACTGTAACATGTTAAATATACCCCTTTATATATATAACTATATTTAAAATATGAATTTTGACAAGCTATTAACTTGTGTATCAAACCACAGATAACAAATAACTTGGATCCAAAACTTGGAAATTTTGCCTGTGCGAGGTTAGCAGATGGAGATACTAGGAATCTTTCTGACCTAGCAACCGATATTGTCCACTGGATGGCTCCTGAACAGATCATGAAATATAAAAATGGAACATATAAAGAAAAAAAATATACAATTAACAGCGAAATTTTCAGGTATCAGTTAGTTATTCAATTTGATTAAGATTATTTGTATTGGGATTTAATTTATTTTCTTTGCAATTAGTTTCGGAATGCTTATTTGGGAACTTTGTTATGAAAAAATACCGTATGAAAAATGGGGCATTCAAAAAATTTTTGATCATGTTTTAAGTGGTAAAAGAGAAGAACTTTCGTATGGAAATGCTAACTCCAATGACGAAGAGGTTCTATTAGAACTTATTACTAAAATAATTCGTGATGGTAATTTATTATACCTGTTTTTTATTTATTATGTTATTTCGATATTTACTTTTATTTCATTGGTAAACAGCATGGAAGCAAGAGGCATATGAACGAATAACTATTACAAATTTACATCAGAAACTTGAAGAATTGACTGTAAACTACCCAATTCCTACTAATGTATTTTTGAACAAAAAATCATCAAACGCCAATCAAATGAATACTGTAAACATTATAAATCCTGAATTATCTGAACCTGAACATATGCCCAAAGAAGGTTCATCATATGTTTCTCTTGAAGAAGGAATCAAGCTCCATCAAAGCAAATATTACGAAGGAGCATGGAAATGTTTTGTTGCAAATGCTGAACTTGGCAATTTAAAAGCAAAATATTGGCAAGGCTATTATTTATATCACGAATACGGTGTTATTAAACAAGATATTGAAAAGGCAAAACAACTCTTTAAAGAAGCTGCTGATGGTGATCATGCTGATGCACAATATCGATATGCCGCTTTATTACTTTCTGAACTAAAAAAAGAAGAAAGTAAAAATAATAAAGAAGAACGTTGCAAGGAAATTTTACATTATTTCAAGTTAGCTGCTAATAATAATCATATTGATGCAATATTTTGCATGGGTGATATTTATGCGAAAGGAAAACTTCAAGTGCAACAAGATAAAGGTCTCGGTTTGGATTATTTAAGATTAGCTGCCAAGAGTAATCATCAAAAGTCAATTGATCTATTAAAAGAATTAGGTACATTTATGTTTTTTATTGGTTTTATAAATTGGATAATCTTTCATTCAACTAAAATTATTTCTTAATTTAAATTAGAACCCCCAGAAGATCCTATGGATGTTGAGGTACCATTTCTAGTCTCTATTGAAATCTCGACACGATTACAATCTGACAATCCTAGCATAACCACCAAGACCATTTACATAAGGATCTCAGATACTTATAATTTGATATAGATGAATTTAGTGGCTATGCTAGAGGGCTTTTAAATCTCAGGATTTCAAACCCTATTGGGGTCCTGACTGTCGGGATTTTAGAAAGCATCAATTCTTTTTTAATAGTTATGATTTGTCATCAATTTTTATTAACAAAGCTTTTTTTTCTAGTAAATAAATCATCCGAATTTTTGAGCTTCGATACGAATCGAAATTTTCACCGATCGCAACTATTAAATTTACAACTTTTTTAAAGTTAACTATAAACAGTGTATTCATAAAACAATTTTTATGCAAAAGCCACTTCAGAATTTAAAGTTTTGGTATATATTTATTTTTTAAATCAGCATTATTCTGTTGTGCAATATGATTATCAAATAACAAAAAAACCAAAAACAAAATTTATTAAGTTAGGGTAGGGTTAGTAGTTAGATATTAAAGCTAATTTATAGTGAAACTTGGTTAGAACTCATTGTTTAAATCAAAGGCGGTTTTGTAAACGAAGTTATAAACATTTTTTTAAGGAAAAAAAAAACAAAATTGGTATATTTAATCTTTTTATTATTAGCAGTTATATAACTTTATTAGCGAAAATTATATGATATTGAATACCGTAGTATGGAAAAAAGTAATAAAAATAATATCAAATATTTATTAAACTATTATAAAATCTGATTTATTTTGATAGGAACCTCAATTTATGCGATGTGGTGCGCATAATGTGCTAAGAAAATAAATTTTATGCCAATAATTTTAAACTATAATTTTTTTTATAAAAAAGTTACATTCTTAAGCTAAGCACAATAATTTTAGCATCTTTCTTGATAAATAGTAAGTACGTGAATATAATATTTTTTATTTATTGAACGTTTCAAGTTACTTCAAGGCACTATTGAATAAGAAAAATAATAACTTCCTATTTTTTCAAAATTATTGCTTTGCACATTTGGGTCACCAAACAAGCGCAATGTAGGGTAATTAAGACATGCATTTACAAATGCAAATGAACAAATATCAGTATTTTTTTCTTTTTTATGCAAAAGGCTAAAGAATAGCTTCTCATTTTTTTTATCCATATCAATGTAACATTCTTTCCGTTTCAAACCTTTATACATTGAACGTTCATTCCATTTGCGCCATATCATTTTTTCAGGTTCATGTTTAGTATTGATTGTGCACCAATGGATTTCTAAGGATTTAGGAAGAACATCTATTCGTTTTCCATTATTCTAGAATGAAATATAGGCGGATAGCTAGAAAATTAATCACAGTGCCTTGAAACTTTTTAATAAATGAAAATTTAGTTAATACTTGCCAAGTCAAATGCATAAACGCATGGCATCCAATTATGTTTATTTTGGCAAAAGTGAAGACCAGCAATAATATTAGATTCTATAATTTCATTAAATTCTTCTTCGTTATGACATTTAAATGCACAAATTCCAAGTGGAAAATCTAATTCATTTGAAAATTTATAAATTTTGGATAGGTCTTGCTTTGCACAGTTAAGTTTGGAATTATGATAAACTCCTTGCTCTGAATTTTTTATAATAAAACTATTTAAGTCAATGTTTAGTGGAGTTCCAATTTTAAAATTAGTGCGAAATCCAACAATCATCCATGCAACCTTTATGATATATTTGAATCGCTTTCTTGATAATTTCTCTTTTTCTTCAGCTGTTTTTATGCAATTTACCACCAAATAAGGAATTTCATCGGGACTATATACCACATGGACAGAAAAAACCTCTTTAACCTTTTGAAAATTGTAAACTGTTGCAAATATTTGATTATTTGCCATATTTGCAAGAATATTTTTTTTACTTTCAGCAATTTTATCGTTAATTGATAGTAATCTGGGATTCATGATATTCTTGTCATTAAACTCTATTTCACAAAAATCGGAGTAAAGCACTACTTTTCCAAGCAATTCAAGCAACTGAGCTTGTAAATTATCATCTAATAATTCATAGACTGATATAATATCCGAGTAGCTGATAGGCTTCCATTTATTAAAATGACCTAGGGATTTCGTCCATTTTTCCAAGCTAACTCTATTTTCGACATCAGGTCTGATAGTTTCGTCACCACCAATGACGGCATAACTCTTACAAATAACGTTTTCAGGCGTTGCAGCAAATTTTTTTTTCTTGGAATCAGTATGTATTTCGGTGTGTGTTTCAATTTCGTATTGAATTCTTCCACCAAACTCTATATATAGAGGGACTAAAGAAAATGTTCATTATTAATATATTATTTGTGATTGATGTAGATTTTAGGATCATGCTTACGAAAAAATCCAAACTCTTGAGACAATTGTTTAATTGAATCCAATTTATCTTCACTTGTCAAAGCACGTTCAATTGCTTTTATAAATTCTCCTGTCGGTTCGACTTCTTCGCGAAAGATTTGAATACTACATTTAGCCCACTTTAAGCCACCAAATTTATATGATTTTGCAATCGCTTTGTAATTTTCGCTAGAACTTTCAGCATTCATTCCAACTTTTATAGAAGTAACCGCCCAAGGCAAAGAAATGTCCGCGTTGACATTTTTAATGTAATTTTTTGCAAATACCCGTTCAATCTCTTCTGTGTACGTCACCGATTCTTCTGACAAACCACCATTATTCATATCTATTTTAGCGGTTATATCATTTTTGAACATGAATGCAGCTTTTCGAGCCCTTTTAACATTATCATCTTCAAAATAACAACCGTGAAGGAGATTATTTTCATTAACAAATTTAAACAAACTTGGTTTTGTTGGGTCCTTTAGAATATGTATATGTCCATCAGCACAAATATCTGAAACTTTAAAATTTTCTTCATCAAGGTCGGAAATTTTTATTCTATTTTTTTTAAGAAACACCATATTTTCTCCCATGTAAACATCATTATAATTCCTAAGGTGCTTGCGCACTTCTGAAAGACGATCGTCAAACGAAAAATTTCCAGAATAATATTTATCTTCTCCGTTAATTTCATGAATTACAAAATCTACACATTCATTCGTCATTGTTAAAAAAACTTGCAAATCGAAAATGTGTACCAGGTTGTGCTCCGGATGATCATGTGATTGTTCGGAAATCAATCCAAACGATCATTAA